TGAAATATCCGGCGCTCTGGCTGACCCCTGTTTGCTCTGACCCCTGTCTGCGGACTCGTCATGCTTCCGGGCCATCAATGGCGATGACGCCTCTGGGGATCGGTGCAAGTGCACTCATGGCTGGCGCCCTCCGAAGTAGCACAACAACAATAACACAACACATACACACACGCACATTCATACATGTATACATACATACATATCACTCGTACCCGGAAGAGTCTGTTTTGCTTACAGGGAGGCGGCACGGAAAAGGCACAGCCTCAGACAACGTAGCAGATGACCGGGCCGAGCCCGCGGCGACACCATAGCCCATTGACATACCCTGCATCGACACACACACACACTCGGAGTTGTGGCCCATTGAGGAATGGTCCATACCGTGGCCCATTGACGAAATATGGTCATCCTCATTCACATCTGCTGCACATATATGCATACCCTTGACCCGAACATGCTATCATATCTGGGGAAACACATATTTTGCTTCCGCCCGCCTTCTGCCCGCCTTCCGCCAGCTACCGCCGGCGGAGGCGCTCCCTCCTTTCACTTCCGCCGCCTTTCTCCGACCTCCCGCCGAGAAGCAGTTGGCAACGCGTTCGATCCTCGAAGGCGAGGCCCTTTCTGGCATGCCTCACATCTACCTATAGCTATACATATTTACATAACGATCCATCTCGCCATCAATTTATATATCTATAACCGCAGAGGGTCTTGAATGATGCACCCCCCCTAAGCTGTCGGCGGGGAATAGAAACTCGTCCCTCCTCCTCCTCCTCATTCCCCTCCCTCCTACAGGAGGCGAAGGAGGAGGCCGCCAGGCGTTGAGCGATGGGATTTTTGAGCACTTCTCATGACCTCTCATGCATCCGCCGACGAGAATACTTAATTTCCAACTATTGTCGGGATCCCAATCCGTCAATAAGCCGGCGGACAAATATTCATGTTCCCACTATTGCCCGGGGGTTTATTAAAGACCCTTTGTGGGGGTATATATATATATATGTATATATTGACATTGATAGTTCGATAATAAGGTACATACACAACAGAAACACACAGTCCGAGCCCCGCGCGGACCCCCCGGAAGTTGATGTTCGTGCAGCGCTTGGCCACTCGAGGACGGAGCCTTCCCCCCCCCCCCGGGGGAGCCCAAAGGGTACCGATACCGCGACTCTCTGAACCTCTCCCAGGGTCCGTCCTGACCAGGCTTTCGAAGCGAATCCATCGGTGCTAACGGAGGCCTCCCAGGAGGCTCCAAAAAGGGAAACCGGGCGGGGTGTACCCAGATCATTGGATACCACATTTTTTCGGTCGCGGTCGGTAGCGAACGATCGGCACTCCAAATCGGTCGCGACCGATCGCGACCGATCCCAAAATCGGTCGCGGCAGGTCGCCACCGATCGGTCGCGACCGATGTTGAAGCAAGTCGGTCGCGACCGATACCGAAATTTGCAGCAGAATCGGTAGCGACCGATCTCGTCGGTCGCTACCGGAAACTTCCAGTACCTAATGATCAGAGTAGCGGTATGGCCTAGTGCCGTTTTCAATACATGCTCCGCGTGCGGACCATGTATTGAAACATGCAGGGATTTAGTATTACAAGCAACGATGAGTTCATGCCTAACATTCAGACACGAATGAATCATGTTTTCAAAATGCTTTCAAACAACATCCCACGTATTGAACACTGCCCTGTGTGGGCACCTTCTCCCCCCCTGACCCCCCGGGAGCCTCGGGACCGCGCTGCCTCCCCGCCGCCAGCGCCTGCCGGAGCCCGTCCACCAGCTCGCCGGCCTGCAGGTCGCGGGGCGGCGGCGACACCTCCGGGCGGCGGGGCCCCGGCCCCCGACCGCCTCCGCCCGGCGGCCCGCGCAGGGCGAGATATGCTCGCTCGGGGGGGCCCTCCCTGAGAGGGGACGGGGTCTGGACGCCCTCCTCCTCGGTCCTCCCTCCCTCCCTCCTCGACTACTCCCTCCCTCCTCGACTGCTCCCTCCCTCCTCGACTACTCCCTCCCTCCGCCCTCCCTCTTCCTCGATCCTCCCGCCCTCCTCGAGCCTCCCTCCCTCCTCGAGCCTCCCTCCCTCCTCGACCTCCGATCTCCAGGGCGGTGACCGCCCGCGCCCGCCATCCTCCCTGGTGGGGACCCCTCCCCCCTCGGCATTGCCCAACGTCTGGTGGCTGGGGGGGCTGCCCTCGGCCCCTCGGCCCCGCCCCCTCGAGGGACGTTCTCTGGCCGCCTCTCACGGAGCACGGCGTGCGAGGGGGCGGGGGAAGAGGGGGGGGTGCGGACGCTGGACATGGGCACCCCGGATCCTTCAAGCCCCCCCCCCGGGCCAACCTGACCGACGCACCTCGCCCACTCCCCCGCGCGCTCCAAACCCACCCCCTCTCGCTCCCCAACCTCCTCACGCCCCCACGAAGGACAGCGGTTCCCCCCCCCCCCCCCCACGCGATCCACCCCCCCACGCTTATTGAGAGACCTAGAGTGCCCAGGCATACTCGCGTTGTGAAACAAATCAAGCAGGACGGTCAAATGATCGCAATTTTTGGCCCCCAGGGGCCCAACGCCAATTGTCGGGTCCGGGTGGTTCTTCCTCCCTCTTGATGCAAGGGCCCTGGAGGCCCATGCGAACGTTGTTCGAACGAGGCTGGCCAGCGAAAGTCGCGAAGGATGGGCCCAAGGGGCAAGGATGCAAGGGTACCCTTGGGAAGGTTGCCCATACTTACCATGCGGGTCCTGGAGTCGGACGGATCCGTTCGGCGGGCCCCAGGGAGGTCCCCGAAACGAGCACCCGAACAAATGAGAACGAGGCGGGGTGGCCGAGGAGGCATGCGACCTCTCAGGGGCGCCCGCGAGCTGCGGAGGAGGCTTCCTCGGAAGCCTTCGCCTTCCCGAGCAGCGCCCTGGCCTCTTGGAAGGCCCCCCCCCTCGCCACGCACCCTTGCGCGCGCTGCCAGTGCGTCGCGAAAGCGTGCTCCACCCCCGTGCTTTGGCGTCGTGCCTGTGACGCTCTTCGTCCTTTTTGGGCGCTCCTGGGCGGTGATCGCTGCCACTGCGCAACGCAGCTCTGGGAAATTGCCAGGATGGGCTCCGAGAGGGGTGAAGAATAAAGAGGCGCGTCTCAGCGGAAGTGTTGGGACGAGACAGATGTCATGCTGCGATGGGCTCAGCACGCGCGTTCCAGGAGCTCCGGCGCGTCTTCCGGCCGTCGCCTCAGGAGCCCGCGCGGAGCAACGGGAAAGCCTGGAAACTGCAGCGCATCATTGTCATGAGTTCTGGCTGCCTTGACGAGGAGGAGGAGGAAGAGGAGGTGGAGGAAGAAGAGGAGGAGGAGGAAGACGAGGGAGGAGGAGAAGGCGGAGGAGGAGGAGGAGGAGGCGGAGGAGGAGGAGGCGGAGGAGGAGGAGGAGGAGGAGGAGGAGGAGAGCCAGGACCGCAGCCCTCGTGCCACGCACCCTGTGGAGCCTTTGTGGCCACGGCGAGCCTCGGCCACGACTCGGCTCCCCGACCTTCCAGGCCGGGCTTGCTTGGGACACGCCCGATCCAGGACACCGGCACGCCCGAGAGAATTTTCAGCTAAGAATGCAAAACACTAGTCAAACAAACGTGCCCATACTTTATTCGTGTTTGAGATTGTTGTTGAACAGTCCTCCTGTAGAGGGACATGCTACAGGGACATGCCCGACGAAACTCCAAGATTGCCATGCGCTCCGGGCCTCTGCAGGGCCTTCTGGAGGAGCTTGTCTCCGGGGGCCTTCTTGGCCCCTGGGCCCCCCACACAAAATCGGGGCGCGCAAGCATGGATCAGCGATCCATGGATTGGGCGCGCGGACGCCAAATCCGTGGATCGGGGGAGGTGCCCTCCCCAAAATGCGGCAGGTGCCGCCTCGTTCGGCGGCGGACATCTGCGATTTCCCGTGGAAACCGGACCCGTCGCTGATCCAAATCCATGTTTGCGATCGCCTGACAAAGAGCAGGCCATGCAGGAGGGAGTCGCCCCACCCCAAGGGTTAAGTCGGGCGTGTCCCCCTAAAGGGGGATTTTGGACGAAACATAAAAAAATATGAAAAAATATAAAAAATAATCCCAAGACAATTTTTTACGATTTTTGAATATTCCCCTGTAGAGGGACAGGCCCGACTGAACCCAAGGGGACCGCGGCGTCCCCCAGGGCCTCCAACCGACGGAGCCCCGGGGACCTGCTCCCCTGGCCTCCCCGAGGCTCCTCCTCGGTCCTCGCTCCTCCCTCCTCCTCGACTGCTCCCTCCCCCCCTCCTCGCCCCTCCCTCCTCCTCGACCCTCCCTCCCCCTCGATCCTCCCTCCCTGCCTCCTCGCCCCTCCCTCCTCCTCGATGCTCCCTCCCTCCCCGATCTCCGATTCCCGACGAGGGGGAGGCCGCCCGCCGCGCGCCCCCCCCCCTGGTGGGCCTGGTGGGGACCTCCCATCGACGGTGCCCAGAATCTGGTGCTAAGTCGGGCCTGTCCCCCTACAGGGGGGATTTCCGACGAAAAATAAAAAATAGTCCAAACATAATAAAAAAAACATCAAACAATCATCTGGGGACTATTTTTTGGGTATGGTTTGACCTTTTTGGAGAATGTTGGAGGTATTTTGTATGTTTCGTCGAAAATCTCCCTGTCGGGGGACACGCCCGACATAAATCTGGCACCCCCGCGACAAGCGCGGGCCCCTCGGGGAGTTCTCTGGACGTTTCGCGAAGCTCGGCGTGGGAGGGGGCGGGGGAAGTGGGAGAGGAGAGAGAGGCCCGCCACCCCGAGTCCGAGAGGTCGTGGGGGCTGCCGCGCTGGAAACGACCACGATGCCAACGCCAGGAGCGGTCAGCATCGAGTCGAGAGATCGGATCGGATCGGAACGTGCGTCGGGTCGGGCCGCATCGGATCGGAGTCGGAATCGGATCGGAGTCGGCCGCGCCAGGAGGCACAACAACGCCAGCCAATCGTCGGCCTCATCGCATCGCCGGAATATCGGAATCGAATCGGATCGGGCCGACAGAACTCGATATCGAATCGGGGTGAAATTGATTCAGCGGCGCGCACAAGGGGGTCGGAGGAGGGGGACAGGCTTCTCAGAAGGAGGCTGTTTCTTAGAAGGCGCTGGCCCCACGTCTATAGGAAAGGCCCGCGCCTCCTAGGAAGCAGGGGGCTTCTAAGAAGCCTCCCCCTTCCCCCCTGCCCCCCTCTGCGCATGGCTGTTCGATATTGAATCGGAACGAAATGGATCCTGAAAGGCCTGGGCTCACGCGCGTGACTGCGGTCTGAAGAGCTCGTGTCCCGGCGGCACAATGACGCTTTGTAAACGAATATAGCGTTTTTTAGAGAATCTGTGTTGCGAAACCATGTGGGTTTGTATGTTTTGTGGAAGCTCGATTTTGAATTCCTTCCGAAACCGAAGGCTCTTGAAGGATTTCGGCAGGCGGGCCCCTTGAGGGGGAGCTCCCGCCTGAGACTTCCTCGCAATTCACTCACAGACGAGGAGGAGGAGGAGGAGGAGGAGGAGGAGGAGGAGGAGGAGGAGGAGGAAGCGCTCGGGACGCGGACGCCTGAGGACTGGGACTCGCGAAGGAGGCAGGGGCGCCCCCAACCCGGGGCAGGCAAGACCGCTGGGCAACGGGACGTGCCCACTCTGCTGGTCCGTGCGGCCGTCGAACGACCTGCGCGCCCGAGACGCCGCGCCGTGTTGAGCCGTGGCGTAGCGTTCTGCGGTTGGCGCGCGAGGCTGCCCGTGGCCTCCCCAACGCTCCCAGTCGTTGTCTCTTCTTCGTCGTCGTCGTCGTTGTCTCTTCGTCGTCGTCGTCGTTGTCTCTTCGTCGTCGTCGTCCTCCTCCTCCTCCTCCTCCTCCTCCTCCTCCTCCTCCTGCCCATCTCACCCCCTGCTGCCAGTGCTTATGCTGATTGTGCTCGCTTCTCGTATTCCTCCTCTTCTTCGTCCTCCTCCTCCTCCTCCTCCTTCTCCTACTCCTCCTTCTCCTCTTCCTCCTCTTCCTCCTCCTCCTCCTGTTCCTCCTCCCCCTCCCCTTCCCACATCCACGTCCCCGTTCCCTTTCCGCTCGCTCGCACGGGCTCCTCTTAACACGAAGAAAATAGGTCCTGAACCCCAGCGGATCAGGCCCGCGACCAGCTCTTCATCCCGCCTTGCTTGCCTGACGGCCCTGGAGCCAGGGAGCGGCTGCCAGAACCTCCAGGACCCTTTTTGCTCGGGACCCCTCTCGTTCATCATCTTTTCATGTCTGGAGGAGAGGAGGTCGGACACCCCAGCGACAGCAGACTCCGCAAGCGAGCGCATCAGGAGTAGTGTGAGACATGCGGACTGGTAGGGGCGGAAGTGCGGGAAGTTATAATATAGTGAGAAGACAAGACTTCCCCGAAGACGCAGAACGGCTTTCTCAGAAGGCCGGAGCCCTTCTGAGAAAGGTCCTCCTGAGAAGCCCCGCCGCCTTCTGAGAAGGCCGTCTCCTTCTAACCTCCCCCCCATGCTCTAGAAAAAGAAACAACTGGATAAACATAAACTTTTGGCGCTCCACGCGGATTTCTTGGTGCTGCGCTGGACCCCCCCTCCCCGGCGCGCGGAGCGCGCCAGGGGGCGGCGCCGGAGGCGCCGCCAGAAAGTCCCAGCGCGGATCCAAGAAATCCGCGCGGAGCGCCAAAAGTTTGTGTGCATGGCGTTCCTTCTTTTTCTAGAGCGGGGGGGGGGGGGGGGCGAGGTCAGGAGGAGAAGGCCGTCTCTCGGCTACACGCAAGAGTGACCCTGGGTAAGAGTGACCTTTGGTGCGCGGCTCTCTGGAGGCCGCGGGGAGACCAAACCTGGGCGCGCAAGCCGCGGCTACCGCTTCGCTTTCAGCCACCCGAGGGCCCATCTGTGCCCGCACCAAAAGTCACTCCGGCGGAAGTAGGGGGGCCACATGCGACCCCCACCCTCCCCCTCAGAAGTCGTGGGGGGTAGGGGTAGGGTTCGCATGTGGCCCCCTAGAAAGGCCACTCTTACGTCTAGTCTTGGGCGCCCGAGTTATCCGGGGTAACTCGGGTCCAGGGTAACTCGGGTTTGGGTTCCCGAAAAAACGAACCCGAGTTATCCCTGACCCGAGTTACCCCTGATGATTCGGGGCTCTGGACGCCCGAGTTATCCGGGGTAACTCGGGTCCGGGGTAACTCGGGTTCGGATTCCCGAAAAAACGAACCCGAGTTAGCCCTGACCCGAGTTACCCCTGATGATTCGGGGCTCTGACTTATGTTTAGTCGATCCTCGGAAGGCGGCGGGGCTCCTCGGGGGGGCCTCTCTCCGAAGGCCCCCCGGCCTTCCGAGGAGGGCGTCTGTGCTGCTCCGGCGCTCGCCGCCAAGGGAGCGAGCGCGGCCCTGGGCCCCCGACGGGGGCCCTCCGCGGCCCCCCCCCCGCTTGCACAGACAACACCTCGGGTTACAGGGCAGTTTTTTATTACATAAGATGTTTAAACATATGCTTTTTGGTAAAAAAGGGAACCAGTATTAATTTACGAATGAATTTATGCATGAACTCATCGTTGTTTTGAATGCTAAACCCTGCATTTTTATTACACGATCCGCACGCGGAGCATGTATTGAAAACGGCACGGTATGTTACTCCAGTCGTACGTAAGGACCACATCCCAGAAATAATCTCGAGCACCCCGAAGAGTGTCGAAAAGGTGTCGAAGCAGTGTCGAAACGGTGTCGGACGAGTGTCTCCCAGGGCCCGACACGCGAACACCCTCGAGCTTCGGTGCTTTTTGTTGGTGCTCGAAGTTCTTTCTAGTGATCAAGGCGACAGCAGGTTGGAACATCATAAAACCCGGGGTGGCTATGGCTGCTGGACTTAGTTTGGGCGTGTCCCCCTACTGGCGGATTTAGGGCGAAAGATAAACAATACCCAAACATCCTCGACAAAAAGAGTGGAGAATAGCAACAACATCGTCCACTGACGATTTTTACAAATACTATGTTTGTTTTTCCTCCCGCAGAGGGACAAGCTCGACTCAATGCTGGCCTCGGGCAGAGGCCCAGGGCCCAGGAGAGCCCGCTGCCCTCGGGGCCCGCCTCATGCATGCCGATACGGTGGAGGCACGTCCAGAAGAAAGGTCTTCCATGAGAAGCCCAGCCCTGAGACCCCAGGACGCCCATTGATTCTTGGTGTGGGAATGCCACGCTTTCCATCGCAAGACCATCGAAACCATCGACACCCAGGGCACCCTGGAGGCGAGCAGGGTGTTTCTTGGCATGGGCCCCCACTGTACGGCGAAGGCATTGGATGAGGAACCACTGGATAAGGAGTCCAGGGTCTGGAGGCCGGGGCACCTCTATAGACGAGCGCGTTCCACTACTCGCAAAGTAACTACTCGCAAATGGCCTGGATACGCCGCGGGGGATCAACGATAATTTACATCAATGACGGCAGCTGTTTTTCGGACGTTTGCGAGTAGGCACTTTGCGAGTCGTGGAACGCGCTCGGTGACTCTAATCGTGGACTGGCCATGGATATCTAAAGGAACGAACAATGACACAAACATAAAAACTCAGAGGTCCGCGCGGAGCTCTCGGATCCGTGTTGGACCCCTTGGGGGCGCCTCTGGCGCCGATCTGAGAAATCCGCGCGGACCTCCGAGATGTTTGTTATGTTCATGTCATTCTTCGGTTCCCTAATTTTGCCGCCGCCCTCATGAGATAGAAGGAATTCCCCAGGGTCTGAAGCCTCCTGGGCACATTCCTTGACCAAGGCCCCCCCCGTAGTGTTACTTTATAGAGGGGGCCACATACCTCCGACGGTATGTTCTGTCGATGCGCAGCCCCAGAAGAGGGACAGCTTTCGCCGCGAGTCCATCCTTCTTCTTTTTCCGCGCGAGGCGCGCGCGCGGAGCCTGGGGGAGGCCGCCGCCAGCCGCGTTCGGCCGACGCGGGCCGCTGGACGCCACACCGTCAGTTGAGACGCTCGCGCGTGCAGCCGGGCTCCTCCTCCGCCGCGGCCCGCCCCAGGCCGCCGCCCCTGCGCCGGTGTTCGGCGCGGGCCGCCGCGGGGCCGCCCGAGAGCGCGGGCGGCCCCGGTCTCTGCGCGGCGCTGACCTGCAGGTCGAAGGGCGACTCCGCCTGCTTCGCGGAGCAACGCGCCTCGTGCCTGGCGACACTGTCCCGCAGGTGCTCCAGGGTGCCCAGGGATGCTCGCTGCAGCTCCGAGAAGGGCAGCGGCAGCCCCGCCCGCAGCAGGTCGCTGAACAGCCGTAGCCGCAGGTCGGCGGCGTCGCTGGCGGGCTGCGGCGAGACGGCCTTTAGCAGCTCCTCCTCTTGCCCCTTGCTCTCGCACGTGGGATCCCCGCCCGCGCTGGCGCCGCCGGCGCCGACGCTGGCCGTGGCCGCGTACCGCAGCCGCAGCCGGTCGACCGAGCTCGCCATGGCGTCCACCTGCGCGAAGGTCTCGAAGGCGGCCACCAGCTGCGCCCTGCTGAGGAGCAGTGGCTGCCCCACGATGCTCGGGGCGGCCTGCTCCTCCTTCTCGATGGCCATCTGCAATCCACGGAGAAGGGCCGGCACAAAACAAGCGTAGCGGGGACACCAGTAAGTCAGGGTCATCAACGATATAGCGTGCGCGGTGGCGTTCTGCGCCCAGCTTCTCTTCGCTGGCCTTTGCCCCAGGGCTTTCGCGGCAGCGGCAGCCTTGACTGTAGAAAGCACCTCGTAGCCTTCAGGCACGGACATCAGGTACCTGCGTTTTCTTTCGTCAGCGTTTGCATCATCGAGGGCAGCTGTCAAGACCGCTATGAAGATTTGGGACAGCGTGAGGAAGAGAACAAACAAGGTGATAATGTAGAGCAGGATGCTGGCTTCGGGATTGTACTTCAACGCCTCGTCACTCAAGGACGCACCGTTTGCAAACTGATCCAACACAAACAGGAACAGGGCCACCAATGACTTTTTCTCAAAGACCCCGAATTGCTGGCCGTACAACGACGCAATAATCAACATGGCCAGACACATGCCTAAACTAAAGCTCAACAGCCGCTTTGAGGCAGAGAACAATGTTTCAGTCAGCTTCTTGAAGAAGGGCAAGAGCTGTGCTTCATAAAACAATCTGACCAGCGCCATGAGTTGGCTCACACACATGAGGAATCTCCACAGTCTTGGTTCCACTGTCATTGGCAGAGATATGACAACCAATGGGAAGAGCGCAATGCACAGCATTATGTAGTAGGATGGCTTCTGTAAAATCCTGAACCAGGAATCCCAGGAAGTGCAGAGGCAAACAACCTCTAACACATTATTCGTCGTGGTAAGCACAAAAAAAGACCAGCTCGCTAGCATGAGGCCCAACATCTCTGACTCGATGTCGAAACGCATCGACCAAAACGCCTTCGAGGTATGCGCGTAGCCTGGCTCCCAGTCCTGGTCCTGGTGCCACGCACGGTAGCAGATGCCCGTCATGCGGAGGTTGCGGGAGATGATCACCTGCACTATATTCTGGGACCCACGTAGCGCACGCGAAATATAGTCGACGACGTTTTCCATTATACTGTCGTCGTACCTGAGGGACAGGGACTCGAGGGAGGCATTGCCGCCCTCCTGCCATTCCTCCGCGTCGGGGAACCTCGACGCGATGGCCATCAGCACGAAGGAGGCGTGGATCAGGGTCGCATTCGTGCAGCAGGGCGCAGTAGTGACGTTGGGACGCTCCGCCCAAGCCGCGTCGATGACATCGCAATTGCGGCCCGAATTGCTGTTGCTCCCCTCCCCGATCATGAAATCGGAGCAGAAGAAATCCCGGAGCGAAAGCCTGCGGATGTCAAGCGAGTTCTCCGTAGCTCCCACCTGGCACCTTGGACACACGCGATGGACCGCCTCTATCTGGCGGCTGAGGTTGGACATGAACAGCGCAATCTCGGAGACAGTGGACAGCTCCAAAAACCCATCGCCATCAGCGCTGCCCTCGAGCACCTGCCCGTTCTCGAAGAAGTCGAACGTCCGGCCCGCGAACTCCCAGTCGATGAACCAGTTGGCGAGCCACATGTAGAACATGAAGAAGGCGCTATAGAACACCAGGCCTCTCCAGCGCAAGTACCTCTTGAGGTCCGCGCGCGCCAACCTTGCCATGATCAGCACCTCCCCGGGTGGGTGCCTCGCCTTGCTGCTGCTGCTGCTGCTGGGGCTCGGCGCCACCGTGGGCGCCCTGCCGGGCCACGGCGAGTCATGCACTCGGACAGCCTGGCCCATGGGGGCTGAGCACGGCACTGCCCGCGGGCCTGGGCCAGACGAGTACTGGAGCCAACATGGCTACGGATTCGCCGCGAGTCCATCCTTGATGGTCGTGGGGACCGAGAACGGACACACCGAGGCTGAGTTGCGCAACCTCGGCGACACCGCCTCAACGCTGACAGCCCCTGCAGTGAGGGACCTGTAAAGATGAAACGATCGTCAAGGGACCAACCTCCAAGCCAGCATCCGTGACCCGAAATTTGACGACAACACCATCAGGATCCGCCAACGAAGTCACCCCCCGAGGAAGCCGACATCGAGGAGAAGCGCCTGCTTCGGAACAAAACCACATCCTCGGAGATCTGGGCGAGGGGAGGATCGAGGATCGACCGGATACTCGAGCGCAGTCCTCGGGTTTCGCGCGCCATGGCGCCACCGCGGTCTCCAGCGGTCCTCCTGCAAACATCGATCCTCCTCCCCTGAGATCCGACGACGCGACAAATGCAACACCGCGAGAAATCACGACCATAGCTCCAATTAGACCCCATCTTCTTGCAAAATTTCTCTAAATGGATCGAGCTGTGGTGGCCCTAGGGCCCGAGCCCAGCCGTAGACGCCTGTTCAAGCATTGCAGTGCATGGGTCGCAAGGTCCTCCCCCATTCTTGAGACTCCTCCTTCCTCCACAATCCCGCAAGGGTGCCGCGATGGCCAGCCCCCCCGGGCCTCGGCCACCCCCAGACGTCTGGGAGGTGAGCCGGAGGTAAAGGTGGAGGTGTAGGTGTAGGAGGCGGAGGCGGACGAGGACGGGAAGGTGGAGGAGGAAGATGATTTGTTTTTGGGCTCCACACCGCCGCCTCCAGATCCCAGCAAAGGCTGGGAAAACAACTCGAATGCTACGGAGGGAAGAGCATTCGAGTGCAAAAGGCTCAAGCTACTACCTGCACGAGACTGCACAACGCGAAGCTAGCAGCGAACGCGAAGACCTCATGGAGGCTCGCGGCGGGTGCTGACGGGGCGCCCGCGTGGGGGCCGACAGCAGAGAACCGCGAAAGCCCCGAAGGGCGGGCAGGCCAACGGCAGGCGGAGGGAGTACAAGTACTCCCTCCCGCGCAGACCTTGCCCCTGAAAGCAGAGAAGGACGAACGAGCGACAGACGGCACGAGAGAAAGCGATTCTCCTGCCCGCGCAAGCAAGCCCCTAGCAAGGGAAAAACAGCAGGACAGATACACACGCACCGTCCACGCGAACACCTGCAACGCATTACGTGCACAGAGCAAGTGCTAGGACGCAGGGGATGGCCTTCTCCCCTCCCCCAGCTTGAACTTAACTGCCACAGGCAAAACACTGCAGACTCGTAGCGGACGTCTCGCCACCGTCAAGAAGAAGAGCCGCAGGCCCTAGATGGGGCCGGCTCGAATTCAAGCGTGTAGGTGTTAAAGCAATCCATAACACGGCCAACATCCACCTTAACGCCCTTGGAGCGCTTACTATAGTGCGGGTGCTGACCTTTACACAGGTACGACCAGCCATACTTAGCAGCCCTGCTAGGTGGTGGCAAACATTTGCCCCCCAGACCCCTGACCGAGGCTCCAGAAGACTGGCATTTACATCTGACGCAGATAAAACCACACGGAAGAATCGTTACAATCGAAAGCAATGGTCTTGTGTCCAAGATTGTCGAGCTTCGTCGCATGCAGCTTAGAATCCTGCGGGCAGCGTCCACCTTAGGGTCGAGAGCTCGCTCTGCAACCCCGAAAACAGACAACGCACCTCCAGATGCCAGACCATTGCTGCCACTGGTGACCGACATGGGAAGACCCACTGGGCTCTGGGACGATCCTGTCAGCCTCCGACAAGTCCAAAGGTTTCCAGTGAAACGGCACGGGGGCGGCGACCTTCAAAGTGGCGCGAGCGTGCTTGACCATGCGGCCAGCGCCCTCCAGCAGGCCCGCAGGCTGCGGGTGGAGGTGGACAGCAAATTTGGCGGCCGTGTCAGCATGTCTGTTGCCAACTCGAAGCCACCTTTCACGATCAGAAATATCTGGCTCGTCGACCGACAAATGGGCAGCAACCTTGCTACAGCAGGCCAGCGACTGCTGCTGGGCATACACACGGCAGGAAGGCTCCATAATACATTCGCTTGGCCGGCAGCTGCTCGGGCTTCGACCTAGCGGCCGACATGACCACATTGCTACAATCAGAGAAAACACGGGAGTCCTCGGGGCACCTCTAAAGAACATTAGACCACGTGAAAGCGGAGAACTCAGCCCCTTGAAGTGTCTGGGGGTAAGGGCCCCAAACGGGGGCCCTAAACTCGGCCAGGAGCTCCCCGAAGACATCAACCATGCAAACCGAGCTGGCAGCACGAGAGAGCCCCCTGCTCCCTGGCAGGATGACGAGTACAAGGGCAGTCGATAAAGAGGTCACCCCAGACACCGACGCCTAGAGGTTGCCCGTCAGCAGGGGCCAAGTCTTTCCTGCGCCAGACAAGGATGGGACCGTCGTCGGACTCACTCAAGGGCCTCGGGAAACAGTCGGCGGGATGCCGAAAGACTCCACTAGCAAATGCATGCAGGGCGTCAGGGTCGCCAGCCGCCTTAGCAGACAAGGCAGCTTTCACGATCTCCTGATCCACCGCCTCGCTGCGATCGGCGACAACAGGCGGATGCCGGCATTCCCACAGCCGGTGGAATATCGTTTCTCTTTGCCCGCAGAAGGGACAACCGGGGGAACGCAGTGCCCGCGTTCAACAGCGCGAGCCCCCGCGAAGAAAGCCTCCGACGCGAACGCCCTGATGCGAGCTTTTTCCAAGGGGGTGTACGTCTTCGAACGGGGGGCCAGACAGTCCTTGACCACATCGCAACAGACTCTAGGCAACACACCCCTCTTTTCGCCAGAAAATCGTTCCAGCATCCTGAAATAGCCCTCACGCACCAGTTTGGTGACAAGAGCGGGGGGGAACAAACCGAAGGGAATGATCTGCCCCTGGTCGTCTTTTATGGTCATAAAATCAACCGTATGCCAGCCTAACCTGACCAGGGACATCCTAAGAGCCGAGATGGGGCCAGCCACTTTCCTCCGGGAACAGCTGGGGCTCGCAAACACAGAGGACCACGCGCGACGCAAAGTGGGGAGGTCCAGAGACCACCTGAAAGCGCTGGTCTGGGCAATCCACACTTCCTTGCTCCGACGCGCGATGGGAGAAGTGGCCGCCCTCCATGTCGGATTTCCGCCCAAGATGGCGATGGTCGTCAAAGACCTCAGGTTGCTGGTCGGTCGCAAGACCGAGAAAACGCGTCGCCTCAGCAATCCAAGATCGCGATCGCTCGCGCCCGTGATTTCAGAGCCGTACGTGGACCCCGCTAAGGGCCCAGCACAAAACACCTTAAGAATAACCGATCGTTTCAGCACCTTGGATTGCCGAACAAGCCGCCGAGCGGCGCGCGACGACTTCGCGATGCGGGACTTGAGCTTGGCCGAGCGGCCAGCGCGGACTGGTCGTCCAGCGGTGTAGTCCACACCTAGGTTCACGGCAGACTCACTAAGCCGGCCGCCTTCGAGACCTCAGTGCCGACATGCTTGGAACTGCGCGCCAGGGCGGTTTTCCCCAGGACAAAGCTACAAACAAAAGACTCCTTGACCACAAAGTCCAGGAACAGAGCCGTTGTCACAATCCCAGAAATCACTTTGGCGGCAGGCCCCGTAGCAGAGAGACCCTGGTCGTCGATATACACGCACAGGTCCACTTGGAGACCCAGAGAGGGGGGGTGGAAGCAATCGCTCTGTCATAATCTTGCATGCAGAAGACCCGGATGAAGGTCGCGGCTATCGAGCAGCCCGCCATGACTCCTGAGCAGCAAAAATGAAGCCCCTCCAACCGACCCCCGAGGCTGAGGAACCGCCCGCACTTGCAGGCTAAAGTGCACAATCTGGCGATCGCCCATCGGGAGCCCATGGATATGACAACGTTCTTCCAGCAATCCGAGGGAGATGTTATCATGAGACTTAGAAAGGTAGGAAAAAACAGCAAAACTGGCTTGGCCTTTCGAGACACCACTTTCAGCCGTGACGGCTTGCCTCCAGCCCACGTCGGCTGCCCCGCGAAACCTGCCAGCGGCCCAGTGCCGACGGGGGTGTCCCACCTCCCAGTTTAAAGCCCAGGGCCGCCTGAGGCGCCCCCAAACTCTGAACCAGGAGCAGAACACTCCGATCGGCCTGTTGCCGCCAGCAGGTTTCGGGGGCAGCGCGAGGAGGACCGCAGAAATCTGGGGGGGAAGAACTCCCAGAGACTCAACAACGTGGAAGAGACCGCCACGGCAATCTGACGCCTCGTCGGTCATGAGGGAATAGTGTCGGCAATGGAAGCCGTCGACAGAGACAGCGGAGGCTTCCTTGTAGGACCACGACATGTCCCTGACCGTTTGAGGCGACAGCCTGGGAAGAGCCCCCAATATTTCTCCTGAGAAATGACCCCCTTCACCGACGCCCCAGATAGATGCGAAGTTACCCCCCTCCAATCTGAGGGGCGAGAGGGGGGTCAGCCACAATGGTACCATCCACCGACAGGGTGCTGCTGGGAGCACACGGGTCGGGGTCTTTCAACGGCATCTGGGCCCTACGAGCCCCCGAATCAACTCCGACGTTTAGACGCGCTCTCCATTCGCTGCGGCCCTTGGCCGCGGACTGGACATCGGCGGCCTTGGCTGCCACGTGGACCTGAGCGCACAGATCTGCAAAGGAAAAAGGATCGACCGAGGCGGCGACGTCGGCCGCAACGCCGTCGAAGAGCTCGCAGTGGTCATCGCGAGCGTTGAAAATTGCCGCGGGGGGTGGGCTGAGCTCGGCCCTCAGCCGACAAATAGAAACATAATGCATGTTGTCGCGAGCCGAGTGGGTGTAGGCTTTCAGCTGTAGACCGAGCCACCTGATGGCCCTATGCCTTGGAACCGAACCTGGGGATCTCGAGCCAAGATCGATCTCCAGATGAGCTGGGGCCCAACCGCCCCGGCACCGAACTTCAGAGGGGCTTCCCCAACCCGTGGCACGAGCTCGCGCTCAGCCTGGTCAGCCCACGAGCGGTGCAAGGTTCCTAACATGCCGACAGCAGTCTGCCCCTTGCCTTGCTGAAGCAGACCGATCGCGTGGTCGACCATGGGCTGGGCTCCTTCCCAGCAGGCCGAACGAGGATAAGGACCGAACGCTCCTTTGGCAGGCAGCGGGGGCGGCCTGCGAAATGACAAAGCCTTCGACGCACCAAACTTGGGGAAGGAGGTGGCCTCGACAGGCCGGCGGGGAGAGAGCTCCGCATCCAAGCACGCATCGATCCTCTCGAGGCCCCTTGGGCAGGCCAGCAGACACCGCAAAGTAGTCGAAGGTCGTGGGGGCCCCGACAGGGTAGTGCGCGCGCACTTTGGGGAAAATCAGAGAACCGCGAAGCTCGGCGGCAAACGAGGAACCTGCGATGTCGCGAGGCCCCATGTTAAAGTCTGCACCTAAGAGCGACGAGCAGTGGCGCTGCGCAAACAGCGCGCCTATGTCAGAGAGCAGGCTGAGGTTCCTGTCGGAGAGGCCCTCAACGTGATAGAAATACGCCGAGACAACCGTGGAAAGGAGGGGGCCCAGGAATTTCCACCGAGCAGGCCAGCGCGCGGCCTTCCAAGATGCCCCCCCCCCCAGGGACGTCGAGGCAGCCCATCCAGGAACGACAGAGCACGGCCACACCACCAGAAGTGTCGTCCGCTTCAGTGGCGGAGGCCCTGGACCACACCGACTTCCAACCGTGGCGGAGGCACCGGGCGTTCGCCTGTTGAATAGATTCCAGGTCGAGGAGCGGATGCTCTTGGAGGAGCAAGACATGGGCGTCATACCCTTCCGCAAACGAGCGCAGCGTGCCCCGAGAATTCCCGTTGACGGTCTGAACCCTGAGCGCCGCAGAACCTATATTCTGAACGCTGTCGCTGGAGGAAGCATCTCGACACGAAGCTGGCAGTGGGCCAGCCAACGGCAGAGCCACAGCAGTGGTGCGACAAGGAGCATCCTTGTCCAACGACATCACAAGATAGATTGCTGGAGGCCTGGCACAGCTGACAGGGGCCTGCTGCTTGCGGAAAGACATGGAGTCGAGCGAGGGGCCGTGAGTCTGGGACAGGGCAATATCGTTCGCTCGAATGTGCAAGAGCTCCCACCTGTGACTTGGAACGCTCTGCTGAAAAGAAAGATCACCTGCGGAGAGTCCGGGGGGGGCCCGCTTCGTCCAGAGCAACGCGCGAGCCGCGCCCGTTGGCCGGGCTTGGCCCACGAGAGCGCTCGCCGCAAAAAAAAAGAATGTGAAGCCAATCCCCCCACGAAGGACATGGCAGGGAAAAGCGTGGCCCAGATAGGAACCCCGAGCAGCGAGCCAGGGCGCCCCAGAAACAGAGGCCGCGCAGGGCCTTTTCACGCCAGTCCTCCAGGGGGGGTGACGTCGGGCGTCTTCGGCGCCTTCCCTCCGCCTGCTGCGATACGATCAGCCCGCTCCTTGACGCTGCCAAGCGGGCGCGCGCTGGCGCCAGGCTCAGAAGAGGCGCCCGCTGTTGCCGATGGAGTAGAGGGCGCCTCGGCAGCAGCAGCAGCTGCACTCGCTGCACCAGCAGGTACTCCACCAGCTGGCTCCTTGAAATCAGGCGAAACCTTTGTCGTTTTGTGGAGCCTGTCCACCATGGCAGCGTGCTCCAGCTTGGCCGCGTCCATCTTGGCTTTGGCCTCTGAAAAGAGATTCTTGGCCAGATCCGAGAAGCCGTCTTTGAGCTGACCAACGCTATTGGAGAGCTGCTCCGCATCCTCAGTTCCGATCTCTGTGTCATCGCCCAATGTGAACATGTTACCGAAATCGATGTCGAAGAGTTTTTCAAGCTTGGCCTGGTCAAAGAGCACCTCATCAGGCAGCTTGGGGACCGACGGTTCCTCAGGAAGTTTCTCTGTCAGGCGCCGTACCAATCTTGAATGCTCCTCGTTGGCCTCCTGAGCTGCACCACAAGCTGCTGCTGCGCATCGAGCTGCGCCTGGAGAGACTCGTGCTTGGCGCAGCCCTGTTCGAGCCTGCTCTCAAAACGGCGAGCACGTCCATGAGCACGCTGGAGCCGCACTTGCATTGGTTCGTCCAGAGGAGCTGGAACCTCGAGAGCCTTGGCAGACCGGCGGTACATGGATGCACCACGGGTGTCGCCTGCCTTCTCGCAAAGATCAGCAAACTGCTTGTATTTTTGAGTACAGAAGGGGGGGCGCCGCACTTGGGAGAGGGCCATCTTTGCCACCGCCCTTCCCAGTGCCGGCTGCTCCCTTTCCTTTAGCACCTGCGCCGCCTGCACCGCCGTCAGCTCCTCCTTGCGAAGACGGGGGGCCGTCCGCCCACGAGGAAGAGCGGTCGACCGTGGCCTCGATCTTGGGGGCCCCGCTGTGCTCGCAGAAATAGAACCGAGCCTCGTTCCGTGCGCATCCACAATAGCCGCACTTCCACTTCTGGCCCGTGGACTGGCCGCGCGGGCCCGACGAACTGCCAGCTGCCATCGCTGCCGTCAGGAGTCTGAAAACCAGGGAGAAGAAGAGGCCAAGCACGCACATCTTCAGGGCCCCAAGCTGTATCCGACGTCGTCGGCGAGCTCCAACCACGGTGCCACGGCGCCCAGGACAACTTGCCTTTGCCACCGCCGCCACCCTTGCCCGAACCGCCTCCTCGAAAGCAGATAGAGCCAAGTTGGCCCGCAACAGCACAATGCCGTTCTGAAGAAATATGCTGAGGCAAGCTCAGGGGGAACCTGAACCAGAACGGCTGAGGAGGAATATGAGAAGGAGGAAGTGGTGGGAGAGGAGGAGGACGACGAGGTAGAAGAGAAGGAGGAGGAGGCCGATGTGGAGGAGGAGGAGGAGGAAGAGGAGGAAAAGAAGGATGAGAAGGAGGAGGGTGAGGAGCAGTAGCAGGAGGAGGAGGACGAGGAGGAGGAGGAGGAGCAGGGTGAGGAGGACGAGGAGGAGGAGGAGGAGGAAGAGGAGGAGGATGAGGAGGAGGGCGGAGGGAACGGAAAAGACATAGACGAAGGGGAAGGAGGAGCCAGAGGAGTCGGAGGAGTCGGAGGAGGTGGTGGAGGTGGAGGTGGTGGAAGAGGAGGGGAAGGAAAACGGGGAGGAGGAGGAGGAGGAGGAGGAGGAGGAGAAGGAGAAAGAGGCGGGGAAGGAGGAGGAGAAAGAGGACCAGTGTAAACCCAAGAGTCATCAACGATGTTGGAAGTAACTCTCCCTCGAAGCTCCGTCTTCGCAAGCCCCTACAACGGTTTCTCCTATTGAGGGAACTGCCTCATTGGAAGACAACCATTTGAAGATCCTGAAGCATGCCAAAACATGGTTCTCGGGATTTCAACTCGACGTATCAACCTTACTGCTGCGTCGTGACGATCCGGAATCGTGCCAGAGCGCCATTCTTGGGACTTCAACACCGCGAATCAACATACCTGTCGCGCCCGCATAATCCTGAATCCGTCCAAAATACCATTTCTGATACGTTGATCATGGGTCTCCGTGAAACTCTAGCAAATGTTTAACGAATGTGCGCGGCGCTTCGGCGAGAACCACATTTTGAAAACGACCCGCCTTCAATCCGTGAACCTCCTGCAAATGTTAAAAACGAATGCGCGCCGCGCTAAGGCGAGAGCCTCATTTTGAAAACGACCCGCCCTCAGTCCGTGAAGCTCTTGCAAATGTTTCAAAACATGCGCGCCGCGCTTAGGCGAGAGCCTCATTGTGGAATCGACCCGCCATCAATCCGTGAAGCTGTTGGACATGTATAAAAGGAATGCGCGCGGCGCTAAGGCGAGAGCAACATTTTGAAACCGACCCGCCCTCAATCCGTGAAGCTCGTGGACAGTTTGAAAACGAATGTGCGCGGCGCTTCGGCGAGAACCACATTTTGAAAACGACCCGCCCTCAATCCGTGAACCTCCTGCAGATGTTTAAAAAGAATGTGCGCCGCACTAAGGCGAGAGCCTCATTTTGAAAACGACCCGCCCTCCATCTGCGAAACTGTTGTCATTTGTTAAGCCTCAGAATCGTAAACAGTGAGGAAACCTCAGGCGCAACGCCTGGCCCCCCCCTAAAACTGGCCTCGGGGTGCAACCGGGAGAAGGTATCTCTAAGGAGAAGGAATGGAGGAGGAGGACGACGATGAGGAGACGGAGGAGGAGGAGGAAGAGGACGAGGCGGAGGGGAGGAGGAGGAGGAGGAGGAGGAGAACAAAAAAGGAGGAGGAGGAGAAGGAGGAGGAGGAGGAGGAGGAGGAGGAAAGGGAGGAGGAGGAGGAGGAAAGGGACGAGGGCGCAGCGATGGCTGGACCCCCCCCCCGGGCCTCGGCCACCTCGACCGGTGGGCCGTCCTGCGGGCCCCGCTGCCCGCGCCGCAGCAGCCCGCCCAGCCACCCGAAGGACAGCACGGACGCCCACGAGCGGCGCGGCGCCTGCGGCCGCTTGCAGGGAGAAGAAGCCAAGATCAAACCCGGCAAGGATAGCATCGGACACAGTTCGGGCGCTGGCAGAACTGGGTTTAATGGGACCTGGTTGACTGATTTGTACTGGGGGACGCCCCCCTCGCCAGTTCCACTAACCGGAACTGCCGTCACCCGAAAAAAACACCAGCTATGGCAAACCTGGGTTAGTGATTCTGGCCAATTCGAAGGTTCCGGGGCCCTACCACTAACTGGGTCCCCTTACCTGGGGTCCTGGCCATACCCGACTGATCCAGAAGAACATCCCTCAAGAGCATGAAACCCTTCGCTGGTCAAGACACACAAAACATCCGAGGGTGAACGCATGCGTATGGGACCACGAAGGGCGCGAGCGAGTTGGGGCCCCGAAGGGCAATTAATCCGGGGCCACGGAGGGCAGCGACGGGGCCGCTGAGGGCAGAAACGGGGCCACGAACGGCAGAGAGGGGGCCACGAAGGGCGACACCGGGGCCACGAAGGGCATGCATATGGGGCCACGACAGGCGCGAACGAGCAGGAGCCACGAAGGGCTTTCGTAGATGGGGCCACAAAGGGCGACAGCGGGGCCGCTGAGGGCAGCAAAGGGGCCACGAAGGGCAGCGAGAGGGCCACGAAGGGCGACAGCGGGGCCACGAAGGGCATGCGTATGTGGCCACGACGGGCGACTGCGAGCGAAGGCCACGAAGGGCATATAATGCGGGGCCACAATGGGCAGCGACGGGGCCACTGAGGGCAGCAACGGGGCCACGAAAGGCAGCGAGCGAAGGCGACCGCGTAACCAGTATGGGCAGCGAGGGGCACCGAAGTCGGGCGAAAGCCAACGAGCGGCGACTGCAGTCCCTAACGGGCTGGTCGGGCGGGCAGGCCCAAACGGGCGGATCGACCGGGCGGGTCGTTGAAACGTAAATTCTGCTTGAACCGCCAGGCAATATGTAGCGGGAGCGCGATTCCTGATTGTCGAGGAGCGGTATCTGAATACATTGTGAGGAAATATCAGGCGGGAGCCGCGATTCGGTGGTAAGTTGCGAAGAAATCCGAAATGAGAGCGCGATTCTTCAATACATTGTGAGGAAGTATCAGGCGGGAGCCGCGATCCAGTGGTAAATTGCAAGGAAGTCTCAAGCGAGAGTGCGATTCTTCAATAAATTGTTAGGAAATATCAGGCGGAAACCGTTGTTGTTGTTGATGTAAACCGGGGGCCAACGACACAGTTTGACCCTCAAGACTTTCCCTGATAAAAAAAACAGGGTGCGAGCCCCGGAAAAAGGCACTTCAATCGAAAAAAACAATGTGCACCGGACGGGGGGGATCAACAATAATTATTCTTCAGAAGTAAAATTTCAACGGCTCCCGCCTGATATTTCCTCGCAATTTACTGATAAATCGCTCTCTCGCGAGGGACCTCCTCACAATGTATCTAAGAATCGCGCTGTCGCCTGTGACTTCCTTCAATTAATTCAGGCGCCACGCACTCACCATTCAGGAGTCGCGCTCTCGCTTGCGACTTCTTCATAATCTAATTGGGAATCGTGCTCTCGCCCGGAGACTTCCTAGCGAATTCATGCATTCGCGTCACAAATGTGTTTTGTTCAATTGAAGTGCCCCTCCCAGGGCTCGCTGATTTTTTACAAACAAAATCATCCTGCTCAATGTGTGCCCCTGGCCCCCGGTTTACAACAACAGCAACAACAACAACAACAATCATCTTAAGACTGATCGCTCTTATATGCGCGCGCGTCACTCAATATGTAAATCCCAAACCCTCGATACCCACCCTCTTCGTCTTCGGTCATACCCCTTTGGGGGTATATCTTTTTTACTCGCCACGTGTAGTTGGCGCAGCCCCTAAAACAGGAAGAGCAGGGGGAAGGAGGAAGGGAGAGCGAGGAGGAAAAGAGTGGGGGGAGGGAGGGAGGAGGGAAGGGGCAAGGGGGGGAGGATGGATGGAGGACGAAAGAGGTTAGCAGGAGGGGAGGGGGGCAAAAGAGGAGGTAAACAAACGGACGAACCAGACAGACGGGTCGAGCGGCGGACTCTGAGGGGCGGGTCGGGCTGGCGGGGCGGGCGGACGCCAACGGACGGGTCGGGCGGCGGACCCTCGCTGGCGGGTCGGGCGGGCGGTGGCTTAAAGCGGGCGGGCGAGATGCCAAGAGAGCGAACGGGCGGGCTGTAACAGGCGGATCGGGCGGGCGAAACCTGGCGGGCGGGTGACTAAAGGGTGAATCCTGAATGAATCACGAGGCACACCCTCGATACCCGCCCTCTTAGTATTCGAACGTACCCCCTTTAGGGGGATTATTTCTCTTTGGAAGGGCGGGCGGAGGGACGAGGGAGGAGGGAAGGGAGCAGGGAGGGACGAGGGAGGAGGGAAGATGCTAGGAGGGACGGGACGCGGGAAGTCTCAGGCGGGGGCGGGGGTCCGGAGTAATTTGCGAGGAAGTCTCAGGCGGGAGCGCCTCCGCCTGAGTAAACTGCGAGGAAGTCCCAGGCGGGGGCGGGGGTCCTGAGTAAATTTGGAGGAAGTATCAGGCGGGAGCCGTTGTTGTTGTTGTCCGGGGGGCCAACAACGCAGTTTGATGCCCACGACTTTCCCTGATAAAAAACAGGGTGCGAGCCCCGGAAGGGGCACTTCAATTGAAAAATACAATGTCCGCCGGAGGGGGGGGATCAACAATAATTATTCTTCAATAGTTAGAGTTCAACAACGGCTCCCGCCTGATACTTCCTTGCAATGTATTGAAGAATCGCGCTCTCGCTAAGGACTTCCTTGCAATTTACCAGGATCTCGCGCTCTCGCCTGATACTTCCTCGCAGTCTATTCAGGCGTCGCGCTTTCGACACTCAGGAATCGCGCTGTCGCTTGGGACGTCAACGCAATTGATTCAAGCGCCGCGCCTTCGACACTCAGGAATCACACTCTGTCTTTGGATTGCCTCATGAAATTTATTTTGGAATCGCGCTGTCGCTTAAGTCCTCCTCCGCGATTCCTGCAGGTCTACTCGCCCGACCTGCACGTCTGGTTCTGCCACGTGCGTTCTGCTCGTAGCCCCCCTCCTGCTACTTTTGTTTTGTTTTTGTTGTTTCTCTCTCTCTCTCTTTCTCGTTCTCCATCCTCCTCTCTCCCCCTTGTCCCTCCCTTCCATCCGTCCTCTCTTCCCATGCCTTAGGTACTGCACGAAATACACGTTGCAAGTAAGAGAGATGTACCCCCAAGGGAATACGACCGAAGACGAACAAAGTGGGCATCCAGAGTTTGGAATATACGTGTTGACTGGCACGCAAGCTGATACGAGCGAACAGTCTTGAAATGGTTATTGTTGTCGTCGGTGGTGTGATTGTTGGTTGTGTTTGGTTGTTGGTGTGGCTGTTGTTGTTGCTACTGTCGCTGACGTTGTTGTTGTTGTTATTGTTGTTGTTGTCGTTGTTGTTGTTGGTGGTGTTGGTTTTGTTGTTGTCGCTGCTGTTGTTGTCGCTGTCGGTGTCGTGGTTGTTGCTGTCGTTAGTGTTGTCGGTGTTGTTGCTGTTGTTATTGTTGTTGCTGTTGTTGTTGGTTGTTGGCTGTTGGTGGTGCTGTTGTTGTGGTTGTTGCTGTCGCTAGTGATGATGCTGTTGTCGGTGTTGCTGTTGCTGCTGTTGGTGTTGCTGCTACTGTTGCTGTCGTCGTCGTCGTCGTTGTCGACGCTGGTGTTGCTGTTGTTGCTGCTGTGTCTGGTGTTGTTGCAATTGTTGCTGCTGCTGCTGTTGGTGTTGTTGTTGATGTTGTGTTTGTCGTTGTTGTTGTGGTTGTTGGTGTTGTTGTTGTTGGTGTTGGTGTTGTTGCTGTTGTGGTTGTGGTTGTGGTTGTTGTTGTTGTTGTTGTTGTTGTGTTTGCCTGCTTGCTTGCTTGCTTGCTTGCTTGTTTGTCGGTTGTTGTGTTTGTTGCTATCGTATGTCTCTGCATGCGGGGCCACCAGACGTCCTGCCCCCGCCTCCGGGGCCGGCTCTTCACCCCTGGCGCAAGCTTTTGACAGAGTCCCGGAGCGCGGGCGGGCCCGCGGAGGCCGAATCACAAAATGCCAAGGACCGCGAGGCCTCGATCGCTGTCCACGGCGCGAGCCCCGAAGCTCGAAGGCCTGGGGAGGAGGAGGAGGAGGAGGAGGAGGAGGAGGAGGAGGATGAGGAGGAGGAGGAGGAGGAGGAGGAGGAGGGGGAGGGGGAGGAGGAGGAACAGCAGAAGGAGGAGAAGGAGGGGAGGACGAGGAGGCGGGAGGAAGAGGAGAGGAGGGAGGAGGCGGGAGGAAGAGGCGGAGGAGGAAGAGGTGAATCAGGTGAATCAGAAAGTGGAGCAAGCTCCTTCGCTCTCTGGCGCCCACGCGTTGGCCGAGCCACGACCCGCGCAAGGGGAGCTCCACTGTGGCAGCGTCCCGCTGCAGAGCCGCGCGCAGCGTCAAAGCGAACCGCGCTGGCTGGCAGCTCGTGCTGCAACTGGCCCGAAGTGCGACAGCCCACGCTATGGCCGAACTTCGGCCCGCACTGGCTGGGCAGCTCCCGCTGCAAGAACATATCGAAAAACAATCGCTGAGGAGGAGGAAGGAGGAGGAGGAACGAGGAGGAGGAGGATGAGGAGGAGGAGGAGGAGGAGGAGGAGGAGGAGGAGGAGGAGGAGGAGGAGGGGATGAGGGAGGAAGGTGGGAGGGTAGGGGAGGGGAGGAGGAGGAGGAGGATGAGGGAGAGGAGGCGGGGGAGGAGGAGGAGGAGGGGGAGGTGGGAGGAGGGGGAGGAGGAGGAGGAGGATGAGGAGGAGGAGGAGGGGAGGAGGAGGGGGAGGAGGAGGTGGAGGAGGAGGAGGAGGAGGAGGAAGAGGAGGAGGAGGAGGAGGAGGAAGGGGAGGAGGAGGATGGGGAGGATGAGGAGGAGGAGGAGGGGCAGGAGGAGGCTGGTCTTGAGTAGGAGGATGATGAGGAGGAGGGGGAGGAGTGGATGAGGATGAGGAT